GAGCCGGTGCCTGCAGCCCGAGCAATTCATTTCTGAATGAGCACCGTGACAGCTGGGCCTCGTACCAGCGGAGCAAAACTGTGAGCTGGCAAGAGTGCGTTGGGCTTTATAGATAACGTTTTGGGAGGCATTTGCCACATGGCATATGACTAGTCTGAAGTATGATATGCGGACGTGGCTGGACTGTGGAGTAGATCCAAGCGAACGTGAAGTTGAAGCAGGGATGCTGCAGTGCAGGGGATGTTGTGGGCAGAAGCCTGAAAAACCAACAGCAAAGGGGCTTGCGTAGGGGTTGCTGGATGGCGTAAAGCAGAGCAGGGGTGCGGTGGGCGGCCTCAGGAAAAAGCGAGGACATGGGTACTTAGAAGGTGGTCGTCATTTGGGACCCCACCGAACTGAATAGTTCTTTAATAAAATATAATTAAGAAACGAGTATCTCAAAATCTGATTTGCAAAATATGGCTGATTTATGGAGATTTTGTGGGAATTCGGGTGAGCTTGTCATCTCTGCTGCACAATGGCAACGGTGGAGCGAGAACTTGGAGGTCACTGTTTGACTGTCACAGAAGCTGATAGCCAAGTCTGACCCGTACAGCACAGAAGGGGTAGGATAACTTGCAAAGCTAGTACAGTCATCCGTGCAGCAAACGATATTGGAAATTAAAGGTCAGAGAATTGATATTAAGGCTTAAGAAAACAGCAATTAGGCTGCTAGGAAGAAAAGCTAAATTGCTGGTAGTAAGAGTGGGGGGAAAGAAAAAAAAGATTATTGATCTAAATACCAAGTTGGCAGGTACACAGAATACAATCTAGAGGTTTTTTACACCTCTGGGCTTATTCAACCCCCACGATAAAAAAATGCAGGCCTATAAAGATGGAATAAGAAGTAATCAATTAGGATGGCATTTGCTTGTTTCTGTGCTGCAGCTGGGCGGGCACACCACGATTAATGATTTATTAGGAGATTTTCATCTTTTTTTTTTCCCATTTCTCACAGATTGCTACAACCAAACCACAGTTATTTGTTAATTTGCCTGCTATTATACGTCTTTGTTAAATATTGTGCAGAAAAGGTAAACAGTTGGCTCGCGTGCCAGCACTTGCTCGGGAGTACAAGCGTGGGGGAGCTGGGGGTTGGTGTTCAGGCTCACACAGCAGCCCTCTGCGTGCCGGGTTCCCCAGCTGCGCGTCGTGTCGTATCCAGAGCTTGCTGCTAACGGGGTGGCCTGGCAGCAGAAGGTAGCCAGAGGTGGGACACCCCAGGCCACGCGCACACGGGCACTCATTCGCTCTCTCATTTCAGCTTCTCTTGACCTAGGGGACCTCGAGAGAAGACGCAGCACTTTGCAGCACTCATAGCTGTCAGGGGAAGGGCTCAGTCTAATAAGGGGACTGAGATGCCCTTGTTCTTCTACGTTAATCCATAGCTATAGGTCATAAAATACCCTATTTCTCTAGGCAATTCAGCTGTCATAAACTACTTCTGCCTGTAACAAATATTGCATCATCATTAGCAAATCTTGGAGACAACACAAAAATCTTTCATGCAGACATTCAGGCGAACAAGTCATTGCTTTCACAGCTTTTTAGCAAAACCAGCTAGAAAAAAAGAAAGAACGTTGGAAAAAGGAACTCCTTTTAGATGGAAGCCTGAATAATTATCTTTGTATTCATCCATCTCAATTCCACACCTCCCTAGGAGTGGCTGCAGCGAGCTAATTGGTTTTACTCTGCTGTGCGTGGCTTCACCGCCCAGACTCCAGATTTATTGCATAAAGTCAAGTCATTGTGTGGATTCATCATTTGTCCCCCCACATCAATCCCTTTCTCCTCCGGAGTGGTATTTGTCTGCATGTTCATATGCTGTCAGGTACTGAGTGAGACAAAAGACAAACTGTGGGATTAACAAATTTTAGTATAATCTGATGCAACCTGAAAATCAGGGTGAATTATTACCTTTTCAGCAAGACACGACTTCAGACAGGCCAGCTCCAGAGGGATGAGAGGACTTTTGCCAGCGCAGGCTTTTACGGGAGGGGAAGAAAATAGTCACTACAGAATTTAAGGGTTAAGAACATGCCAGTTTCAGAACAATCCTTATCTGAGAAGGGAAGCGAAGTGTGTAACAATCAGCCATAGAAATCCATGTGAATGGTTTTTTAAAAAAAGCACTCTGGAAATTAAGGACTTCAAATGCAACAATTGAAAATGAAGCTAAATGAAATACAGGGGAATAGGAATAAATGCTACAAGTATAGGTCAAGCACTGCTTTATCAATCTTATGTTTACTTCAGCAGCTCCTCTGTTGCCCATTGTTTTACCTTGTTTGGATAGATACGCTTCTCTTTATTTGAAAATCAATTGTAATCTTATGAAAGAGAACTTACAGCACAGGGAATGCTGGAAAGCAGCAAAGTGAAAGATGGCATTGTTCATTATCCTAAATTACTCCAGGATAGGGAGGGAATGACATTAAAGAAGTGTGGGTAGCTTTGAGCTGCCATCCTTCCTTTAGCAGATGTAATTTAATGTCATTACTTAATTTTATTAAAGGTAAAGACAATTGTGGACAATACATGTTATAGCATTTACTTATAATAATGAAAGCGGGGGAGTGTTAGAAGGAAGACAGACGGGCTCAGGTTTGGATTCCCGGTAGCTGCTGATCTGTAGCTGATGGAAATTGTTCTGTTCTTCATGGTGCATCTCTCCAAGATTTGCTTCTTAACCTGAATAGAAGTTCTTCGTATGGCTCCTTTGATTCCAGTGAAGCTACACTGTTCTCATCAGAAAAATATTTGCCTTTATAAGCATAATAGTCAATATCCACCCTTGGTGCTACATAGGACTGGTCATTCCCTTGCTGTACCTAAAGGGTATCAACAACAACTGGATGACCTCCTGGTTTGCTCAGTATATGCCAAACATCGTGGCTTTTACCCTAATGAAAAAGCTTTGTAGACTGTTGCAGTCTTCCTCCAGGCTTTATATTGAGATGTGCTTGTGTATTTATAATTTTTAATATACCTCATGTTTTTAAAGTGTCTTGTAGCAAACTTTATTGCTACAGGTCAAAAATGGATATTGTGATGGCTTTTACAGAAGCTGCTGTAAAATCTGTTGGCAATTGTGTGGGATTTTTCCATGTAACCAAACTCTTTGGCAGCACCTGGGTTATGATCTGCTAAAGGTGTTCAGCAGCCTGTAGGACTGGCCCTCTTAAATGTCTTAAATGCAACAGATGGCTTGGTCCTGTTGGGTTAATTCTGTTTAGTTCTGCAAGACGTAAGCCTGGTAGTAACGGAAGAAAAACTGTGGTCCTAGGTCAAAGACTTGAGATGGTTTCACAAAGTGTTTAAGTGCCTTGAAAGTACAATATGATATGTTGACATTAGCAGTGCAGCCATCAAGAGACTGCGGGCTCATCAGCTTATCATTGCTGGCATGCCATACAACTTTAATTTAATGTAATGGGTGATAACTAGTGTGGATTTAGTAAGAGACGATCCTGCTTAACTAATCTCCTTGAGTTCTTTTGAGCAGACAAGGTTGATAATAGGAGTGTACATATGACATAATCTAATGGATTTTTCAAGAGGCTTTTGATAAATTTCCATATGATATTTCCCCTGGTTAAGCTGTGTGCTGCAGAGATTCCGAATTGAGCAAGAGAATGGGTAAAAAATCATGGGAAATAAAGAGAAAAGAAGAGCTGTAGCATGTACTGGAACTAGAATTATTCCTCAGCTTCCCACTGTTCTTCCCCACCACTCAGCATGGCTGGAGAGAGATGCCATCTGCATTCACTAATGAAAACTTGTTTAGGACAGGTGCATAACAGCAAAGAGGGCAAAATGCCATTCAGGATACCACTAAAGGGCAAATTTAAATTTACATTAATATAAGGCAGATTGAATATTTTTGCTGTCAGTGGTGGAATAATATATACTAAATATAAATGCACATTACTGAAAGTCTCCGGTGGGTGGGCATGGGTTAGGAGTGGAGAGGGACTCTTGTGCTAACAAAGGAATGATTTATTATCATTTACATAACCTGGCATTTGTGCACACCAAAGGCCAGATTTTCAGAAGTGCTCTGCTCCTGCATTTTGGGGCCAGGATTTCAGTTGCAGACTCAGAGCCAGCCGCTCCCATCGTTTCCCCAGTGTTTAATTTGCCATATGTCAATCAGAGCGTTGATTTGCAAGTGCTGCTAATAGGCAATGCTGAGAGATGAGGACAGTTGAAAATTTGGGAATGTGTCTTCTTGGCAGCTTTTGAGCCCCAAACACTGGAAGTATTCACAGGCCAGGATCCCCGATCAGCCGTATGATAAATCAAGGACTGGAAAGCAGAAAAGAATGCAGCTAATGCGTCAGGATATGCCTGAACGGGATGTGCTCCATGAAAATCAGTGGTAAATGAGAGAATTAGGCATCAGGAAAGGCTGTGGCAAAATCACAAGAAACACTTTAAATAATGAGACAAAATCAAATCAAAGGCAAGAAAGAAAGAAAATGAAGTGAAATCACTGAAGAAGCAATAAAATGCCATCACTGAAATCTGAATGAGGCAAAATACCTCAGGTTAAAGGGACATAGTCATCCTAAAAAACACGCATTGTAGTCTGCCATTTTTACCTGCTGTTGACAATTAACTCTCTGATTGCTGTAACTAAACAAGAATATCAAGAAAAATTTTGTTCATTTACTTCAAGCATTTGCTGAAACTTGGGCAGTGGCTGGGTGATAGCGGGTTTGTTCTCCTTTGGGCTGAGAGGTGAAACTAGGCTTTGAGAGATTTGGAAAAATATTCAAATAAAAAAGTAGGAAAACCAGAAGTGAGAAAGGGACGTGTTGCTCATAACATAAAACCCCATAGTCCTCTTTGTGGGACTGGTTGCCCAGTCAGTGTGCTGATGCAGGGGAGAGGGGAGTAACGGACATGAGGATTGACAGAAAACTCCCACCATGACCTCTCCTGTCTTTTATTTGCAGTATTCAGGAGAAGTTCCTGAGAACAGAGTGGAGGTTGTGGTAGCCAATCTGACGGTGATGGACCGGGACCAGCCTCACTCCCCCAACTGGAATGCCATCTACCGCATCATCAGCGGAGACCCCTCTGGCCATTTCACTATCCGGACAGACCCCGTCACCAACGAAGGCATGGTAACCGTTGTGAAGGTAAGGGGAAAGCCAAAGCAAACTTGTCACCCTTTCAGCTAGCTGAGGCTACAAGGATTGCCAGAAGTCTGCAGTTACTTCACATCTTCTCTACCTGGGAATACGACTGCTTGAATCTGTTGTTTCCCATCTCTCTCTGTGCAGGAGTCCTGAATGCTTTTACTTCAAGTGTATGTCACTGGTTCGGGGTTTCCCAACTCAGCCATGCCACCGTAAGCTTTCATAAACCTTTCACGTGCTGAAGACTCTTCCCGGCATCTGAGCCTGACCTCCACATCCCGCTCCTCCTCAGCTTTCTGAGCTCTGTAAGAGGGAACGGCACCAGGGCTGTGCAGCCCTGCCCTGCCTGTCGTGTTTAGGGCAGAGGCTGCACCTACTGCTTTCTGAGCCAGAAAACTCCCTGCTAGCTGTGAATCAGGGGTGGCGTTTCACTGCAGGGGATCAGTCAAGTGATCCTCTGTGAAATCAGGGAGTGCAGGAGAGATTGCAGGAGGAGTGAATTTCCTGGCAACAGAAGGAAGGATTTTCCTCTGACTGGGTTGCTTGGCAGAGAAAGTTGGAGAAATTTTCCTTTTCCGGGTGTCAAGCAATAAACACGCTGTGTGGGACAGATCCTCAGCTCAGAATAGCTCCACCCAAGTGAAAGCCACTCCCCAGGTTAGATCAGCAGAGAATCTTGTCCAAAGACTCTGAGAAGTAAGATGCTAAATACGCACTGGCCCTTCTTTCCTCTGTCCTATCAGCGTTAGGAGAGCTGAAACCCTCAAGATATCTGCAGCAAGTATCAAATTCTGTTTCCCTCCTTGCCTCCAAAGAACAGGACTTTATCTTCCTTTGAGTGTTTGCTTCCCTTTCAGTTACTGAGGCCAGCAGCCCAGGCAGTGAATTCTTCTGTAGTCATTACGCACAGCCAGAACATAACTGGATCCATTCAGCGTTCACTGAACCTCTTCCCAGATAAGATGCCTGTGGATGCTCCCTCTGACTACTAAAAAAGTGAAGGTGTCACGAATAGGCTGCTGTGATCTGTAGGAGCGCGCACGACACGCGCTGTGCGCCGCACCTGAAGAGGATAATACATGCTGTGATGGACAAAGCCTGCATCTTTTGATAAGTCTGGCCTTCTCTAACAGAAAGTTTTAATCAACAACTTGGGATGAAACACTAATGCTTAAAAAGCAGAGCGATTTAATAGCTCTGTGTTGAAAAAAAAGAGCCTTGCTCCCTTGTGGCTGATAAGTTGCAGTCATCCTTAATACATGCAGCGTGGGTATTAGGAAAAGTGACATCAGTGAAATGCCAGTGAGGTTACGCTGGTAGGAACGTGTGAGCTTGTGAGCTTGTCCTGGTCTCTGACCCTTAGGCTATGTGTGTGTGTCTGCAGATGCCACTTTGCTGAAACTTTAAGGGAGACGTCATCTTACCTGCTAGATGGTCTTTCAGCGGGGTCCTTTTATTTATCACTTTATTGCTCTGTAATGACGGTTGACAACCTTACCTGGTGCAATCTTACAAAACCTCTTCAAGCTTAGTAGTAGCTCTAGACACATCTATATGGATGCATATAAGTATGAAAGTATACACATATCTATATGTATATATTTTTCTGCTTAAACAGAAAATATTCAACAAAGTAAAATTCAAAAATTTAACTTCTGTTAACAGGGGCCAGTCTGAAATCTAAATGCCAATGTTTTCAGGGGAGGACCCCATATTCTTAATCTAGTAAAGTGTCGTGACCGTAGTTTAAAGGCACACCAGAGTCAACAACAGGGGATTTACGTCATCGTCACTGCTACACAAGGACTTCTGCATAATGAACCACCCCTTATTCAGAAATTGCAGGCAAAAAGCAGGGCAGATTTGCAAGACACCATTGATGCTGGTGTTGACTTTCCACTGCTGTGTAACCCACAGTGATCACAATGCAAAGAACCACGTGAAAATCCTATCTTGTCAAGCTGAGCTCAAAGCTTGAAATTGCATTGAATGTCTTCACTATATAACCTCACCTGATGCTCCTGGGCACCCAGAGTTTCTTACCCTTATCAAGCTGGGAGGCTTTTTGGTGTATTTTCAGCAGGGAGAATGAGTGAAATTGCTTGTGATTAAATTTTCATGGTGGAGAGGGGAAGACTCTTAGGATTCCACCTTCTTCTTTGAAATATTTTGTTCTCTGTTAATAAGTGAATATGCTTAAAGATTTGGGGAATGTATGCACGTCAAAGTGGGTGGCCAGTCAGAGCTTGTTCTTCGTGGTGTGGGAGCAGTCTCTTGCTGGTTTGATCCCTGATGGAGATTGAAAACACAGGTAAAAAATTAAGTCAAGAAATGAACATTTTATTTACAGACCCTGCATGGCTGGATTTTCATGTGGCTCTTTGAAGCTGCTTATACATAACTCCCCACTGCTGCAAGCAAAGGGGGTTGCATCTGGGCTGCAGCAGTCACAGAAACAGTGCAGGGAAGGGCGCTTGTGGAGAATCCCACCCCTCCACCAGCAATTTAGGGGCCAGAAATGCTTCCAAACCAAGAAGCCCTTTGGAGTTTAGATCCTGTTCATGGGAGCCATTTTGCGGCTGCTCTCAGCAAAACCGCATCTTCAGCTCCAGTCCAATCGCCAAAAGTGTAACATTTCCTTTTTCTGTTCATTTCCACAACCATGCAAGACCCTAATCTTCAAAGAAAGCCTTGATCAAGGGGAGAGAGAAACTTCCCACTCAGATGAGACACCGCAGAGAATGGAGACAATCTCCAGGAGCAGCAGTGACTGCCCTGTGGGAGCCGGCTAAGTAAAATGTTATTATAAACTCTGCATGGATCAGAGCTGTGAATTTATAATGCAGATGCTTCCGAAGCTTCCGTTATTATTTGCCTCAACAATAACATAAGGCAAATTTGTTCTCTTCAGTTAAAAGTATCTCGAGAAAAGGAGGACACGTGGCAAGCCCTCAGCATCCAGGTCGGAGAAGCTGGTGAAGGAGGAGGATGTGCACCATCTCCAGGGGGATATTTTGGAGCCGTTTGTGCCAGATCAGACACTGAACATCCAACAAGGGGTATCTGCAGAGGCACACGTGGAATTAAAAAGCAGGCAACAGTCCAGCACCTCCTTGTCCTGGGTGTAGAGGCTCCGTGTGCTTTTGCTCCTGCTGTTGGCCTGATCGTTGTGCAGCGTTTTCAGTGAGACGCATGGAGATGGAAGGGGTTAGTACAGTGTGAAGATGACGGTGTGCTCTGTGCACTGTTATCCTCAGAGGGAGCCAGTTTCAGGGAGAAGAAGTACGAACTGTCCTGGTAGAAATTGCTTATTACGGTGTGAAAGGAGTGCTGCTCAGGGCTGGACCGTGTCTGGCTGCGAGGGACTCCTGTCCCACCGGGGACAATAGCACAAATACTGCTGTGAAGACAGAGGCTCTTGATTTCACCTTGCTCCCAGAAGAGAGGGAAAGAAGCTGAGTGAGCAGCTCTACATTTTGGGGGGAATAATACCACTCCCTTGCATCAGGCCCCATCCTAGCAGATATGTGTGTGGTCAGTGAGTCCTGTGCATCATAAGGCAGGGAGCCGAGTGGTTCCTGCATCGGTGCCCCCTGGAGCTGCTCAGATCGCCCCCCCTCCCAGCTCCATCTGAGCCCCTACGGGGAGGGAGGTGCAGACTGGCTGTGGGTAAGGTTAGCAAACAGGGCAGCACAACAAAACAAAACAAAAAAAAAAAGAAAGAAAGAAAACAAAACTGGAGGAGTATCAGTTAGAAGAGCGTGAAAAGAAATTGAGGAAATGCATTAATCAAATTGTTTCAAGGCCTTGAATTGTGTTTAAATGGGAACTTTCACCATGCTTCTTTTTGAATGCGGTACAGGTCCATGAGTCAGTGCTGGTGGGTGTACTGGGAATCTTTATGCTTCCTTTTTTTTTATTAAATGTTGGCCCTGCCTGTCAGAAAACCATTTAGCAATAGGAACATTTGCACTTCAATCAAACAGAGATTCCGCTGTTTTACCTTTTGCCCCTGAAATTTGTTTCTCTCGTGTAGCCTCCTATGATTTGATTTTTCTCCTGACAATACTGGGTTTTAAACAGAACATGGAAGCCCGATCTTGCTGATATAAATCAGTACAGCTCTAACGAAGTCAGTGTAACCGTGGCATTTTACACCGTGAGCGTACGCTTTGCAGACTCAGCGCTCGAGAAGGTATTAGGGAGAATGGTTACGCTTCTAAATTTATAAATTACGGCAAAGCATTTTTTAACAAGCAGAGGTGTGATCCTGCATAACTCAAGCCTCCCTGGCAGATGATTTGCGACTTCCCTCGTAATAATTAGTGGGATGGTTTAAAAATTATTGTACTGTGGTCCAGTCAGTTGTGCCAGCAAAGGCTCTTCACTCCTGGCTCCTAAGACGCATTGTGTTTGTGGGCGTGTTGAACAGAGATCCGTGGCCACCCAACAGCAGAACGTGTCTGTAGGAGTGGGCAGGCAACCTCAGGAGACCACGAGGTGTCTTGCAAGAGGATGAGAGGTCCCGCTGGAAGGACTGCCTGATTAACCAGACCAGGCGTTGGCTCCTTGCAGCTCCACCTTTGCTTATAAACCCACTTAAGAGGAAGAATGAAGAGCACTTCAGGCTCATGGGTCCGCACAGGCTGTCCTAGTTACTTAGTCAGCAGCTTTAATTGCTAATAGCATTGTTAAGTACCTGTCCAGTCCCTCTGAACAGGCTCCGGCTGTTGCATTTAGAGCAGCCCTTGGTGGGTTCGTTCATTCGATGCTCAGCTGACAGAGGCGGGTTCCTTTTTGGAAATGGCTTAGCGCTGGAATGAAACACAGGGCAAATCCCCCCTGCTGTTTGCAATTTTTACGTTGTGGGGGTTTTTTAACTATTTGACCCTCCAAATACTGGAAGGCCAAATCATCCACTGGATTGAAGGTGGTCTGGATTTACACCTACAAAAGAACTGAGCTCAGGAGGAAACGAGATGAAGCAATGACTTTGATATCATCTGCCTTCTAAATCTTGCAGCTTTCAGCCAGGAGGTAGAATTTATTCTCTGCTTGGCTCTATACTTGCTTGTTTGTTTCAGGCAGTCGATTACGAGATGAACAGAGCTTTCATGCTGACAGTGATGGTTTCAAACCAAGCTCCCCTGGCCAGTGGCATCCAGATGTCCTTCCAGTCGACAGCAGGAGTCACCATTTCAGTCACAGACGTCAACGAAGCACCGTATTTCCCAACGAACCACAAGTTAATCAGGCTGGAGGAAGGGGTGCCTACGGGGACAGTCCTGACAACGTTTTCAGCAGTGGATCCTGATCGCTTCATGCAGCAGGCAGTAAGGTGGGAGACCAGGCGGGGGATTTCAGCTGCAGAAGTTTGGGGAGCAAAGCAGCTGAAAGCTGATTCACAAACTAACCGATGTGATATGAGTAAAATGCTCTGTAGGGACTGACACCCTCAGTCGAGTGCTTGCAGGGTATCCTGCAAGCTCGTAAACTCAGAATCCTCCCTTCTCCAGGTAAGCCAGACTCTGAGCAGCTGGGTCTGGGAGGGCAGACAGAGTTAGATCCCACGTTACTGGCTTGCAGAGCAGCAGTTTGTAGCTTGGAGTGCAAGCAGTCGATAGCAAAGTGTCCCCTGCCTTGCTACAAACACAGAGGTTAGGGCTGCATTGTACTAAATGTTTTGTCTCTGCCTTGTCAAGGATGCTTTGACCTGTGTTGTTCGTGCACTTTCTAAACACAGAGGTTTAGAAAAAGGCAGCTTTGTTATTTCTGTTTTATGGGGGGCAGGGAACTGAGGTGCAGATAAGGGCTAGGGCTAGAGTTCCAAAGGGAATGACTGAGATTTTTAGCCATGTCTTGTGTTGCTTCCAGAGGATTGAGGTTCAACCTGGCTTAAAAAGGACAGTGTGAGAGGAGCTGTCAGCCCCTTCAGAGCAAGGCTCGCTTGGTTACAAACAGCTGCTGAACAGGCTTTTAAGAGGTCGTATAGTTGAATACTGCCTAAGCGGTCAAACACCCGTGCACATGCCATTGGCACTTGGTCTTTATCTAAGGCCAGTCCATACAAAGCCCCCCAGTAGTCCATGCCTGAGCTGCAGTAGCCGAGATCTGTTCTGCCCTCCCCTTTCCCTTCAGACCAA